TATTCTTGCCTTTATAACTCAGCAGGTTTAAAAAGCCTTTTTAAAATTAAATATGAATGCAGTTTTAGATTAATAAAAGGACAGTCAAGTCAAATAAAACATGTTTTATGGTAATGCTAATGGATACCATTAAGATACCATTCATAAACATTACTTAGTTATCAACACATTGAGTGAACAATATATTTTTACAACATTAATTAATGTTTGAAAATGTTATTTATTACAAACACCTGATTGTTCATGTTTGTTCACTTAATTCATTGTGCATTAAATAAATAATGGATTAAAACTTTACAAACAACTTTAAAAATGTGTTAGTGTATACTATTGTTTATTTTAGGTCATTTTATCTAATCTTTTTCTAAAGTGTTTATAATACAAATGTACAGTTTCCATACTTGTAACCGTGATAAACACTTAAATATATGTAAATTTAAACTAAGCTTTGGTACCGAAATTGGTACCGAGAACCGTGAATTTTAACTGGTATCGGTACCGAATACTGAAATTTTGGTACCGTGACAACACTACTTGGGACCCGGTTTCAAAAAATAGCGGTTTCACTCTCCCAAAACGCCGGATCCGTGTGGACGAAGCGCCAATACGTATAAAAATTTATACGTATACAGCGAAACACGTCTCCGTGTGGACGGGGCCTAATCCCACAATCCTGTGCTGAAATACAAGCCCTGTAACACCAACACAATTCAATCTGAGTAAATGAAACAAGTGACAAGTATAATGGTGACTTTGTAAATTGAAGTTCTAAACCGATGAGAATAAGTGGGAATAAATTCTACTTAATTTTGTTTAGAAAAAATAATAAATCTGATGAATTAATTGATCTTACACTTCAATTCAAAGTCTTTTTTTTGTGTGTGACTCTTGGTTGCACAGTTTTCACTCAGGAGCTTTTTAAAAAATCCAGTCAATCAAATGTGCTCTCTGAAGCAGTTCCTATCTAATTGCAAGCATAGGCCCACAGCACACTCCTGGGGTTCTTATTTTTGCACCATATAGGCCTACAACAACACCGACCCATACTTGCCCTCTACAATATGTCCTGAATGTCATAAAGGAACAGGCAGATGATCGCCCTGTGAGCTGAGCAGCCAGAAGCTCCTGAAAGTTGTGTCTTGTCCATGGGCTTGTCATGGTGGATGGCACATAGCTCTTTGTATAAAATGAAGCTGTTGGTCCCGGTAGTGCTGGAAAATGGTCCACAATGGTGTACCACTTATGTTTTTTTTTTTTTTTTGGTGGAGGGAGCACCAGTTCTTCGTCTCGATAAGTCCATTTGGTGCAGGTGTTGAAAGACGAGAGGGCTTTGTGTAGAAACTGTCACAGTAAATCACATAGCCTGACCACAGGTAGTCTAGGTTCACCAGTGATGTCTGATTGTATTTGTCTGTAATTGTGTGTTAAATTTAAGATTAAGTAAAGTAATCAAAGCAAAACAAAATCAAAACTGTTTATGAGCAAATGTTTAAAATGACAAATATTTAATATGTAATTGAATGTGCAATATATTTTTACATTTGTTGTAAGGTTGAGTAAGTAAAAGCTGAAATAGATTTATATCGGTGCCAAAGAATACAGTATTAACTGTTCTTTCCATAAATAATAAATTGATCAGAAAAAAAGATGGTTCTGGGGCAGATGGTTATGTTTTATGAACAGCTGGATGAATTGGCTTTGGAAAATTCCGGCACACAAAGGGTGTGGGATATTTATAAAGTTGTCCAGTGTCCCCTCAGTTGCACCGGGGTAATTTCAACATGGGCCACTGTGATTTCCTTTCTTCTAACTCTGAACCTCTGCCAAGAGGTAATGTGAATGGCAATCCCTCAAACTCCTGTGTTCTGATTGGCCAGCAAATGTAGGGAAGAGATTACCAGCCAAGGGCCTGAGGGTAAATCAGGACAGCTTACTAGCAACTAAGCATTAGTCCGGCCATACCATCAAGTTTCTCTGCCAGTGCGTTGTTCTCGTATAATGCACTGTTGTCACTTGCAGTCTTCCTGTCTCACCGATTGACAGATTTTCCATTACAAACTGGCAAAACAACAGGACACACTTTTCATTATTTTGGTAAATTATTTTTCTGTTCATGGATTAATACCTCACATTGTCAATGAAATGAGATCTTGTCTGTTGTGGGGTGAAACATGTGTTTAGATTTGGGGTGTGATAGATAAGATAAGAAAGATAAGAATCATCTGTCCATTAGTCATGAATGATACAGTGCAGTAATTAGGTCAAAATACTGGAACTGACAAAATGTGGATGGTCCCCTGTTGCACTATCAATTTGCCAAATCAATGCACAGTCAGAGTTTGAGGTTATTTTGTATTGGATTTGTATCTGTAGTATGGAACTGAACTACACTCGCCGTAGAGACTGGTGTCCTCATGTTGGGCTTGGATGTTATCATTGCTTTGATTGGTTTCAGTCTCAGAAACCATTAACTGCTTTCATATATGGTAAATAAAGACTTGATTAATAATAAGCCCTACCTCCACTTCCTAATTTAGATGATTTTTCTCTGGATGAATGAGTAATAAAGCTGGATTTGGGAATCATAGTTCTTTCACTGTCCTATTCTTGCAGGTGATATACTCCATAAGTTTGATTTCACTTTAAACTCTTGCATGGTCTATCTTGCTTGGGTGGTAGTTTGATACTTCCATCCTGTCAATTAGTAACCCTTCATCTGTGTTTCTTCTAGCTGAGAGAAGCTGAACATCACAAGGAGAGAACCATTTGATGGAAGAAAAGAAAAAGAAAAAGCAAGAAGTAGAGACTAAGAACACTGCAGGAAAAACGGTCAGTTTTATTTTAATTCTGTAACAAGAAAAAAAAGATAAAAAAATGGAGAAAACACGGCCTTCTCACTGTCTAGCCAAAAATGCAGATTATTATTTTTATAAGGAAAATATCTGTTGGATGCCTGACATAAACGTTGTCTATTACTTTGCTTAAAGGGTTAGTTCACCCAAAAATGAAAATTAAGTCATTAATTACTCACCCCCATGCTGTACCAACCCCGTAAGACCTTCGTTCGTCTTCGGAACACAAATGAAGATATTTTTGATTAAATTTGAGAGCTGTATAACTACCACATTGGCTCCTAAAGGACTGCCTCTTGACGGCCCAGAAAGTCAATGAAGAAAATGTTTAAATATCCCAAGTGACTAACGTGGCTCAACTATATGTTTATCAAGCGACGCGAATACTTTTTGTGCGAAAAAACAAACAAAAATAACGAGTTTATTCGACTATTTCTTTTCTTCCTTGTAGGCCAGAACGAGACTTTCTTAGATTTCCACGACGCATGCGCGAGAATTGCGATCTGAAGTAGTGTAAGCTGTTGTACGCAGATCGCAAATCTCGCGCATGCGTCGTGGAAATCTAAGGAAGTCTCGTTCTGGCCTACAAGGAAGAAAAGAAATAGTCGAATAAACTCGTTATTTTTGTTTGTTTTTTCGCACAAAAAGTATTCGCGTCGCTTGATAAACATATAGTTGAGCCACGTTAGTCACTTGGGATATTTAAACATTTTCTTCATTGACTTTCTGGGCCGTCAAGAGCCAGTCCCTTAGGAGCCAATGTGGTAGTTATACAGCTCTCAAATTTAATAAAAAATATCTTCATTTGTGTTCCGAAGACGAACGAAGGTCTTACGGGGTTGGTACAGCATGGGGGTGAGTAATTAATGACTTAATTTTCATTTTTGGGTGAACTAACCCTTTAAATTAAACATAAATCACCAGTCATTTTTAAATGCTACAAGTGAATGTACAAAATGGAATAATATGATTGTCACTTGTGGTTGCCGAGAACGCACAACGCAGGGGGATATCAGAGAAATCTTGTATTAACACTTAAATTCAGACTACCCAGGAGATCGCAGAGAAACACTAGAGAAAACAACCAATACACATAAACAAGATTGAACAAAGAACCGAGGGAACCCTTACAAAAAATTACTGCAGTTTTTTTAGAAGTAATACTGCATGTAGAAAATGCAGTTTTTTGGACACGAAAAAACTGCATTATTGCAGTATACAGTAGTTGGAGTACAACTGCAGTAGAACTGCAACATAACTGCGGTAGTATTACAATAATACTGCAATATAACTGCGGTAGTATTACAATAATACTGCAATATAACTGCGGTAGTATTACAATAATACTGCAATATAACTGTGGTAATACTGCAATATAACTGCAGTAGTACTCCAATAATATTGCAATAACTGCAGTAGTACTACAATAATATTGCAATATAACTGTGGTAGTACTCCAATAATATTGCAATATAACTGCAGTAATACTGCAATATAACTGCAGAAGTACTCCAATAATATTGCAATATAACTGCAGTAGTACTCCAATAATATTGCAATATAACTGCGGTAATACTGCAATATAACTGCAGTAGTACTACAATAATACTGCAATATAACTGCAGTAGTACTCCAATAATACTGCAATATAACTGCAGTAGTACTACAATAATACTGCAATATAACTGCAGTAGTACTACAATAATACTGCAATATAACTGCAGTAGTACTACAATAATATTGCAATATAACTGCAGTAGTACTGTAATATAACTGCAGTAGTACTACAATAATACTGCAATATAACTGCAGTAGTACTACAATAATACTGCAATATAACTGCGGTAGATCTGCAATACAAGTGCAGTAGTACTACAATATAACTGCGGTAGTACTGCAATAATACTGCAATATAGCTGCGGTAGCACTGCAATACATAATTCGACTAAAGTACAATACTACTGAAATGCAATACAAATAAAATGCTGTACAATACCATTGGAATACAACCAGAATATCCCAAATAAGTTCACACATCTGCAATAATGAATTAAGGTACAAAACAGTGAATGTCTCAAACTGCAATGCAACAAATAACGTGATTTTTCTTTTTATTTTATTTCAAATAACAGGCTGAGAGTTAGACAATGTATTTAAAGTGTTTATTTACAAATCATGCAAACATCTTCCCCCACATTATTCAGAGAAGTTGTGTTTTTTGAAGAGCTTATTCTTATTCCACTTCGTTCTTTTCACTGCCTTCATCTCAGATGTGGAAACACAATTTTGGAAGTAGTCTGTAATAAACAAACAAAAAGAATCAGAGACAATCTTTTCAGTTACTCTTCACCACAGGCATATATTATGCTTAAAACGAATCTGCAAGTTAATGCAGGAACACGCCACTGTTTTTTGAAATAGGAGTTATTCAATGGAATTAATATTGTGCCATAATTAAACAAACAAATCCAGCATTTGCAAACAAACTCAATCTGCTTTTTAAAAGGAAAACTCGACTCATAAACAAAGCAAGCAATGCGCAAGTGAAAAGGTCAATTTGAGCGAAAATGCAGTGTGAGACACTTGGTAGGGACGCAAATTATTGGATTTTGGCCGATATTCGATATGCCGATATTTGCAAACTCATTTTGGCTGATACCGATATTTATACACATTTCCCCCCATATAATAATATATATATATAAAAAAATACACGCACGGCCCGTGTACTTTTTCGTTCATTCATTATTCTATTTCGGAATGAAAGATGACATTTAAAAAAGGGTGCAACTTGGTTTTTTGTTTAAAAGAAAAAATCAGAAATGGCTGTATTTTGTTTTCCAAATGTATTGTTGTCATCAAACAATAGTATTAGAAAATTGGACGACATTTCCGATCGTTTTTTAATCTGTAATATTTATTTGTACGTTTATTGTATTTCAAATGACTCGTAGCCGAAAAGTGATGGTCCGCCGAAGATTGATGGCCGGCCGCGGGAGCGCGCGCCGCGTGTTACAGGTGTATCGCCCATTCACTTTACTAATGCAGTTGCTTTTATGTGGATCAAGCAGACATAACGTGCAAATAAACATCACTCACCCAGTACAACCATTATTACAACCAACCTTCAGTGATTGAAGCCTCTACTTATTGATTGAAAGGTTATTTCTGCACTGAAATGTAGGGCTGCAACAACTAATCGATAAAATCGATTATAATCGATTATGAAAATCGTTGTCAACGAATGTCATTATCGATTAGTTGGTCTGATTACGTCACGGGGATTGTTTACATGCTACATGCGCTTCTTACATGCGCTTCATGGGGCACACACGCAGTCTCTCTCCCTCACCGCTCTACCCTGTCTCGCACGCGCAACACCGACTGTTTCGCGCGCGCAACACGGACGGTTTGGAGCACATTATCTTCTGTCTCGCACGCACGCTCTTGATTCCGTGAGTTTGAACTAATTTGCGGGCATCAGGAAACCGCTATCAATATGCAGCATACACGAAAATCATTCACCTTTCGGCAAATACGCCGTTTTGAAACCAAAATAGGTGACCTATGTTAATCGTGTATACTTTATGAAGCCATACTATAGTATAATGTGAAATAGAAATGTATATTTAAGTAATTAAATTAAAGTTAACCAAAGATTTTCCCTCCACTGCGGCTGTCAGTCATTCTCTATTCGGTGTTCAAACAGCTCGTCGCGTTCGGTTACAACAGTTAACATGATGAAACTCTTTCCAAGATGATTCAATGTTATTATTATAATTGATCCGTAGATAAAGGTCTATGGTTTCGTAATATAATGACTATCTTGCTAGACTTTTATTGCTGTAACTTAATCACTTTCTGCTGAGTGTCTGTTAGATCACAACACTAGTAGACTCGGCGCAGTATAATTGTTCTTCACGTGCACAGTAGCCTAACTGAAATTTAAAACTGTTAAAAGAAAAGGCTTAATAAACTATTGCAAAGATACTGTATAATACACAGTCAATATGTCTTTCTCTTTCCTTGGTGCTTTTAACTTTAATGCGGCGGACACTGAAGAGCTGCGCGCCGCCCTGTGACTCCGTGTTGCTTCAAGCGCATCATTCAGCGCTCGCGATGCGCATACGCACTTTGTGCAGCTCTTTCATGATCATGTCATAATACGTTTGCGCAATAAAAGCTTATTAATAGCCTTTCTTGTTCTGTCCTATCTATTATATTTTGCTTCCTCACTAAACAACTGTGCTTTACATTTAAAACAGCTGTGCATCTGATTTTTACATGTTTTTCATGAATGTATAACAACAATACAAAGAGCAATGTGTACGTTTTACCAGAGTTAGTGCTACACTTATTGTCTCTTATTTGTTCCCCACTAAGGAATTTTTTTTCACTAAATGTTCAGATTTTATAAAATTATTGTGCACTTGTGATATTTTTAGGCTAAGTTTTTCTGAGTTATCCACTAATCTAGTTTACAATAGCATTTTTGTCATAGGTTATGGTCATATATATATATTTTTTTATTTGTTGTTTTTCTTTATAATGAAGTTGTCTGTATTAAGTAGATTGTTTAACACACAAAAGAGTGTGGTTTTTAGGGTTTTAGGGTTTTATTTAGTTATAATAAACAAAAAAATGAAATACATTTTTATCCGATTAATCGAAAAAATAATCGTCCGATTAATCGATTATCAAAATAATCGTTAGTTGCAGCCCTACTGAAATGTGTTGCTTATATTAATGAGGTTAAATCTGACTGATTATTACTCACCCAGTACTTTTGACCTATTAAAATACCTGTAAAGGGCCAATACAACCATTATAATGCAGTATTTTACCTGCCAAAAAGTGATCACTTGATTTAAAAAAACAACACATTTTAGAGCTAGATGGACTCTAATTTGACAAACGAACAAATTGAATGGTCTGAAAGTTAACTGGAGATGTTTTATTATTTTGTATTGGTACATCCTTGCCACGAAGATGTTTTAAAAAGTGTTGGGGAGAATATTGAACATGGCAAAAGAGTGGTGAGTGGTGACATGTGTTAATGTGATCGCCCCCTCATCAGCGCTCCACTGGCGGAGGGTGGAAAATAGGCACAACACCGGCTCTGAGTCATTTGAAATTATGAAATTATGACTATTTTTGATCTAAAAAACATACTAACATAAGGGCAACCCAGGAAACATTATAAAATAATAATAAAAAAAAAATGTCAGGGGACCTTTAAAACTGCTCTAATGAGGACACTCGACAAAACTGACATTTTGGCACATATTGTGTGTGTGTTATGGTTTGTTCAAGCCTGAAAAAGAACTCGATACTGAAGCGCACCTTTTCCTCCACACAGCTGGACATTAAAGTTGCTGGCGCTCATGCTACGTTCACGGTCGTCACGTGCGCATAGTATCTCCACCACATATTGGCAAGGCTCATCGGCAGAGATATTACTATCGGCCGATACCGATGATGATTAAGCTTTTATCGGCTGATACCGATGTCGTGCTGATGTCATCGTGCGTCCCTAACACTTGGCTTTATATAAGAGATCTCGGCTCAATTTTCTCACAAATGCAGTTGAGCAACTTCCTCTTCTAAAACAGTAGACAGCACTAAACTAGGTGATTAATTTAGTCTCCCAGGAGAAGCCCACTTGCCTTTGCATACAGCTGTGGAAAATGACCAGTGAACAGGTGTTTACTGTATCTTACTGTATCTATAATGAACCTTTTTGAGGTTTTCTTTAGCAAAATGTTATTCTATATCTAGACATATCCATATTAGATTTAATCTTATTGAATTACATCCTATTTATGTTAATTTATGGTTTATTGTTCAGCATTAATAATGAGTTTGAACACTCCAGATAAAAAGTTAAATTACTCACCCTCATGTCATTCCAACCCCACAAGACACGGGGAACACAACTGAAGATATTTTTGATGAAATCTTTCTGTCACTCCATTGACAGTCTACACAATTTGCCCAATAACATGCATTTCTGGAAAAAAGCAGAGACACACAATTTTTAAAGTCTGTGAGTGCATATTTGTTTCACCCCAGCCATCGTCTTCTGTTTTTTGTTGTTACCAGTACATTTCCCTGGAAATAGCAATCACACAAAAAAAGTAAGTTAGCCTACTTAAAAAAAAAAAAAAAAAAAAATCTTTTCTACACATAATGTCAAACTACTGAACATAATTTGCTTGTATTTTCCAGTAAGTTAGTGTCTGATATTTCTAATATTCCTGATATTAAATTTAAACAAGTAAAGTCACCGTGTATAGCACTTCATACAATACAGATAGTTAGTTTTTTTTTTAAAAATGTGTTAAAAGTGATAGACAATATGCTGCAAAGGGCAAACATAAGTTACACAATCTGCTGTGATGCAGTTAACACTAACGTTAAACAGTGTAACGTTAAACCGGAGAATGGTAAAACTAACATTACAGAATAGAAGCGGCGTTTCCTCTTATTTTCCCACCGGGTTGAACAACATATACGTAAAGTCTTTTTTACACCAATCTAAAATAAAAAAAAGAGAAATATGAGGACATTATATGTTATAATTTACTCACCTCTAAGCTGAATGACTTGACAAGGCCTCGCGGAATGAACTTCTTTTCTTCCAGAAAACGCTTCTCTTCCATTCCACTTGTTAATGACCGTCGTCACCACGAGTAATGCTGTCATGTCTTTGTGTTTTAATTGTGATAGTTCATAAATATGAACCTATATGAACGATAATTTCAGTGAGGAAATCAACCAAACCATATTTTATGGAGCAGACACTACGCGGAAAGACGCTGACTGACAGTAATGAGCATCAGCTGCTCTCGAGACTCGTTGTCAGGACAACGCCCGCGGCGCGTGCGCGCGAAGGAAGCTCGTCACATGGGCTATGTCTCGCACAAAACAGCAGAACTGCAGTACAGTTTAATATTGGTAGGCCAAGACTTCAGATGCAAAAAACAAAAACTTCATCTGTCTTTTTTTGCTCCTTTATTTAGGTTCAGTAATTTCACTTTTTAATGGCAAAACTGATATCATTGCCTGAGAGCCCAATAAAAACAAAAAGATAAAAAAAAATTGATTAGTTTTCTCTATCAAAAAAAGTCTATCACTTTTTAAAGTGTATCACTGAACTGAAGTTATTGCAACTACTTCATTATACTGCAAATCTACAGTTGTACTGCAGTTTTACTTCACTATTCTGAAGTTGTACTTTTTGTACTGCTGTTTTACTGCAGTTGCACTTCAATGTACTCTAGTCACATTGTATCTATACTGCAGTTATACTTCGTTAATACTGCAAATCTACAGTTGTACTGCAGTCACATTATATCTATACTGCAGTTATACTTTGTTAATACGGCAAATCTACAGTTGTACTGCAGTCACATTATATCTATACTGCAGTTATACTTCGTTAATACGGCAAATCTACAGTTGTACTGCAGTCACATTGTATCTATACTGCAGTTATACTTCGTTAATACTGCAAATCTACAGTTGTACTGCAGTTTTACTTCACTATTCTGAAGTTGTACTTTTTGTACTGTGGTTTTACTGCAGTTGCACTTCAATGTACTACAGTCACATTGTATCTATACTGCAGTTATACTTCGTTAATACTGCAATTCTACAGTTGTACTTCATTGTACTGCAGTTATACTGCTTTAAACTGCAGTTTTACTGCAGTTGTACTTCATTGTACTGCAATTATTTTTCGTAAGGGAACTAAGGGCTTAAATACACAGGGAGAGATAATTAACTACAACAGAAACAGGTGCCGGATTAATTAACAACCAAGAAGATTAACGAGAGAACAGAACTCAGGCAATGCAGAACAGGGAAGAGATTGAAAACGTATGGCTCTATCTTGCACCCGGCACAAATGACTTTATACACAAACGCATGTGTCATTCCTATTTTGCACGCGCGCAAAGCGGGATTTTCCCCTTAAAAGACGCACGTCGGTAAACTAGGAAATGAACTTGCGCTCCCTGGGCGGATCGGCGCAAAAAGGAGGCGTGTTTCGGTGCAAACATTCCCTGGTGCTATTTTACACTTCCAGAAAACAATTGGGCCACTGATCAGAAAAAACTTCGGTCTAAAGTCAGTGGCGCGTTACGCGTTGTTCATAATGCTATTTTAAGCGCGCATGCTTGGCCATAATAACGGGTGCATAACGCGCACTTTGATTCTCTCATCAACACAGACGCAGCAGTTTTTATTTTTGCTAATCATACATTATAACAAGGAAAAATATTAACACATGAGGGAAATCATTGTGGTTTACATGAAGATGAAAAAACTAGGGCTAAGTATTGAGACAAATTTCACAATTCGATTCGATTTCGATTCACAAGCTTGCAATTCGATTCGATTTCGATTCGATTCAATATCGATTATTTTGGATATCAGTTACAATAAATGGCCATTTTTCTCAAGGGAATCAAATCTCTTAAATGCTGTAAACTATGGGAGTCTAGTTGTAGCCAATAGGCTAATATCTTTTGTAGCCATGCAAACACTTAAATTTCACTTTTATTTATTTTATAATAAGAAGATCGTATGAAATATAAACATTTAAATGGTGGCTGTCATAAAAACTTGCCAGATTTATTCAAATATGCATTAAATATTGAAGAACATTAAGATTATAATGCATATGTAATATGGTGTATATATTAGCAAAATGCTCCTCTCTAGAGTTATTTTTTTCTAGCTGACTAACGAGTTTATGTGGGTTTTCTGAGGTAAATATGACGATACATTGATTACAAGCTGTTTAACTGACGTCTTTCCACGGTTGAAACGCTGATTGAGCGACTTAATGCGACATGATACGGATATAGATAAGTTGTACTCTATCTTTTAACACACTTTCAGATGCTCATTCATGTTTATTTCACGCGGTAACTGGTATTATTAAGCCGGAAGAGAGATCAGCGCTGCTGCTTCTCTTGTGCTGCACCAGAGCGATCTCACGCCACAGCGCCAAAACGTTATTTATGTTTTTTTGACATAATTTGAAAATTGAGACTTCGTTTCATATCAATAGTAACAAAGATTATTGCGATTTTTTGGATGCGCGCAGCCACGATACAATGTCCCATTCAAAAATGAAACAGGATGACTAATCGATTCTTGAGATTTAAGAATCGATATCGGTTCGTAAAAATGAGAATCAATTAATATCAAGAAATCGATATTTATTACCCAGGCCTAGAAAAAACCTTTTTACCCATTTTTTAAGGCTAATTGTACTCGTAGGCTACCAAAGGATCAGACCTGTTTGCCCAATAGTGGCAAGAAACATAAATATAAAATGTTTAACCGACGCTGATGTGCGAGGGTTTCTGCCTTTCCCATACAACGTCACTTCTCTGTCTTTTAACTGCCCTGACAAGAACGTCGGTCTCATCGGCTGTGAACGCTCCTGGCGCTCGCCTGGTAAACCCGGCGTTATATGACAATCCGTCATGCAACATGCGCACCTGTTCTTAAAGGGTATGTTGGATGGCGCTCTGATTGGTTTATTTCACGTTACGCCTAAACCACACCTATGAATAATAAAGCTACTTCAGACCAACCCCTTTTAGATTTGCGCCAGGCGCAAGAGGCATTTATCCCGCTGGGAAAATAGCAACAGCGCCGGGACCCACCCACAAAAGTTACTTGCGCTTTGCGCTTTGACACTTGCGTTTCAAATCGTTAAAATAGGGCCCTTTGACCCCATTTACACCTGGTATTAAAAGGAGATCTGTATCCAGTGTTGTGGAAATTCTTTTATCAACACCTTAAACAACAGTTGAAGAACAAATGAAGATCTCGAAAGTTATAAGTGTTAGTATTTATTTCTTGCAAGAAAGGCAGTTCACGGGCCACATCACAGGCTTTGCATTTCTATTTTATTTATTCTTTTATTTATTATAGACTATTTCACAAGATGTAAACAACACTGGTCCAGAAGCACTTCCTGTTTCAGTTTTTTAACACTACATAAAAGCTGGGATAAAATACAACCAACAGAACATTTAAAACTGAATCAAAAAGTTAAACAAACATCTTTAAGATGTTTTCTTTACATGTGAAATAAAGAAAACAGTTACAAACTGAAACAGGAAGTGTTTCTGGACCAGTGTTGTTTACATCTTGTGAAATGGTCTATATTCTTTTATAATACATTTATACTACTATAATACTTTTTTACAGTAAATAAATAAATGGCACTTGAGCTGGGTCTATCCTGGTAATCTAGTTCGTCATCTGTCAAAAAGCTCTGTTCTCCTGAAAATCCTTCATTCTGCAAGGCACCAAAATAGACAAGCGCTTTATTTACGTCCATTTCGCTGTGTTTCTCTGTGAATCGCGCGTCTCCGTGCGTCTCTATCTCTCCACGATATCAGCGCTTGGTTCATGCGTAATGACGCACACCAATGTTTACGACGGATCAGCCTGTAATTGGTCAAAAACCATCACGTGAAAACATCACGTGATATCCAGAATGTCCGCTAGCATCGAGCTATCGACGGAATATTTATGAATTATGGAGTTCAAGAGTATCAGAGTTAGACATAAAGCGTTTGGATTTATTGCTAAAAACCTCTGAAAGGAAGCACAAGTTGCAGGCTGGATAGAAAACCTTCTGTAAAGGCTAGAAAGACACCAAAGGCACCCCCGTGATGGCTAGCTCGTTAGCTTTCTGCTGGAAAAAACGGTAAGAAAATCGACAAATCTGTCATCGAGTTATGTAAACATTTATCGGAGGTGGCCTGTGACGATGCCGTCGATCTCAGAGGGTTAATTGCAGGGATGCACATGTATGCATGCGGGTAGAATTGACAAGCTTCCCTCAATGGGAGATTTATTAACATGTAAGACTGGTCTGATCCAAATCTGTATGAATAATTATTAATTATCAATTATTAATTATGATATGCAAATTCCCCATTGACCAGACCCAAACAAAGTCTCTACAACAGTTAGGGATCGACAGATATGGATTTTTTAGTGCCGATACCGATTTTTTTTCCCATCAGCCTTAGCCGATGACCGATAC